CCAAGAGCCAATGCCGCGGCATAATGGTGGGGCCCTGGGGTTCACCCATTAGCATTCAAATCCTGACTTTGCCAATCACTAGCTGTGTAACCCAGTGCCTCAGGTTCCTCGCTGGTAATGAGAGGGCAATAACTGCACCGGTTTCTGAATTTGAATTCAGTCATGAGGGTGAAATCAGAATCAGAATTCTGATTCTGTTAGATAAAGCATGTGAGTGCTTAGCACAAGGCGTGGAACATATTAATTACCCAATTAGTACAGCTTCTGTATAATTGTGAGGGCAGGGGTCATGTGACCTTGTTCGTGACCTCCTGAAGCTCCAGCCCACTGACTGTCCTTTGGAGTTGGGTCCTGAGCAGTGGAGGCCCTTCCTGGTAGCTCTGTTCTTCCTCCTCACTGACCAAAAGTCTGGTGGCTTCAGGCCAGGACTGGGTTCTACTGGCAAGCCTGAGGGTGGGTGCAGAAGCCCACCTTCTTTCTTCTTCTCTGAGGGGGGACACACAGACCCTGGGGTCCGGAGAACTTGGAGTTTTATCCATGATGCCTCTGTGCAGTTGTTAGTAGGTAGAGAGCTATTATCCTAGCTTCAGGAACAAAGAGTGGCCTTGGGGTCATTCAATGTAGCCAGAGAAGAAGGAATAAATGAATGAATTCTCCAGGGAAGAGGCTTAGAAGAAGAGTGAAAGAAAGAGAGGTGAGAGTGAGAGCATGGAAGGAATGCAGCCAATCCAATCCAAGCTTTCATATCTGGCTCAGGACTAAGTTTTGGAAAGCTTGGATAGGGCCTGGCTGCTTCCATTTTCTTTATCTCTATGCTCATGGCCACGGTGATTCATTTAAAGATATTATGTCTAGGCCTTGCTCATTGGAAGTGTGCCGGGCACTAGTTTTTTTCAGAATGAATTAGTCACTGCTTTCATCTCCACCATGATTGCCCTCATCACCACTGCCATCATCAATATCAGAGCCCTCCCCACTGCAATCCCCTTCAGTCCCTTCCTTGAATCTCACATCTTTTCCTCTGGCGCTACTTAAGGAATACCATTAGAGACAGTCAGTTTTTGTTGGCAGAATGAAAGTCAGCACTATTGTCACCACCACCAGTGATGGCATCATTACCACTGACAGATTCTATATCACCTCTGCCACTGATGTCACCATCACTAGCACCTCCACCATCATAAATGACATCACACCTCTGCCACCAACACCACCATATAATTAGCTTCACCACCATCACTGACGTCTCCGACATCACCATCACCATCACCACCATCATCTCTGACATTACTCTATTGTGTTATTGTCACGGAATCCTTGAGGTGTTACTTTTCCAGCTGGAAACCTCTCTGGACAGTGACACCTTTGCCTGGTTTTGCTTGGGCCTACTGGGCTTGTTTGCCCACTCGGCCTGGCAGGCTGCATTAGGCTTGCACTATTGGCCTGGCGCCCACACCTGCCAAGGGAGAGCCAGACATGGGGTGTTGAGGGGTGTGCAAATGCGTGAATGTGGGGTCTGGCCACTGCATACAGCCAGGCATGCCAGCTGTGGTGGGAGGGGCAGCTCCAGATGCTGGCATGGGCGCTGGCTCCCTGCAAGGTGGTGGCTGGACCAGGAGTACCACAAGCAGCATCCATGGCTGGCACAAGGGAATGCAGTCGTGCATGGAAGCTTGGGGACACCAAGAACCACAGAGCCTCAAAGAGGGTGTCACAGCCCTGGCTCAGGGAGCTCCTAGGTCTGGGCTCCCCAAAGGGCTATAGCTCTTTTCTCCTTCTCTCTTCTCTCCTTCCTGTCACCTGCAACATGGCAAGCAAGGAGTGGGTTTCAGCCCTGTTTGTGTTATAGCTCTTTCAACCCTGCCATTCGGTGGATCTCAAGTTCTTGTCCCACATCCAGGAAGAATGAGGCATGTGGACAAGTGGAGGGTGAGCAAGGCAAAGAGTTGCTTTACTGAGCAACAGAACAGCTCAGAAGAGACCCTCAGTGAGTAGCTCCTCTCCACAGGCAGGTCATCTGGTAGTCTGCCTGAGCTGGTTGAGTCTGGGGGTTTTTATGGGCTTCAGAGGGGAGGAAGTATATGCTGATTGGTCCATGGGTGGCCACGGGCAGGCCCAGAAAAAGCCCCATAGGTTGTCACTGCAGTCCACGGAACTGGCAGCCTGGCCCACAGGCCTCAGACCGTCCCTGGCCTGAAGGTGGGGTTTCACCAGGATCTGCCCCCTTCCCACCCAGGGTCTGCCTGCCTCCTGCTGTCATTAACCTGCCATCCATGGTGCCCAGGCTGTTCATGATGAGGGGTGCCTGCAGGCCCATGCTGAGCCATCCTTAGCACCCCCTCAGTCTCTCAGCCTCTCTTCCATGCTTGTTGGTGCCCAAAGTCCAGAGGGGGGCCAAGAAGGCATGGGGCTGGCGTGTCAGTGCTGCCCAGGTGTGCACACACCTGGCCAGGTTGTGACAGCACCTGGGCTCAGCCACAACTTTGCTCCGAAATCAGAGTGGGCACCAGGAGTGGAGAGAGGCCAGGCAGTGGGAGCAGGCAGTTCTGAGTCTGTGGGGGCATGGGGGTTTCCAGGGCCCCCAAGAGTGCAGAGATGCCTGGGTTCACAGCCGTGGCAGGGTGGCTGCAGCTGTGCCTGGGAAGGTGGGGCTCCCACCCCTCCAACTAGGAAGGGGGCGGGGCTCCTGCCTGTTTCCGGCCCCCACTGGCTCCATGGAGCATGCAGCCCTCACTGCGCCTCCCCCACTGCAGCTGGCATCATGGCAGTGGCTGCTCCAGATGGGCCGCCACTGCCATCATTACAGCAGTCCAAATGGTCTAAGACAGTACTCAATAAATGCATGCTGAAACAAACTAGACTATCATAACACAAACTTAGGCTCTAGGATTTCAATGCTTCCTATGGTTCTGTCTCTGGAATGGACCCTACTAGAGAAAAACAACACTGGGCTGTATAAATTATAAACTAAGTGAGTTCACTAAGTGAGCCAGAGAAGGGGGAATAAATGAATGAATTATACAGCCCAATATTATTTTTTAGGACCTGCATAGCAGCATGGTGGGAAGATCCTAATCTACAGTCCACCAGGCTGGGAGTGCTGCAGATGAGTTGAGAGAAGCTCCACTCTTCCAAGATTGTTACTTTCATCACTCTATCACGTGGAATTTATCTGAATCCGGATCAATTAGGTGTCAAGACTGAATCCACCTCGTCCTTAAGACCTAACAGGTTTTCAAATACGTGCTCTAGTAGACAAGAGGCTCCTCGCAGATAGCACAGGAAATGATGTGAGGTTCAAGGAGGGGGGCTTGAGAGGGGTTGTGCGGGGACAGGGATCTGGGATCTGCACCCAAACTTCATCCACTGGGCTTCTGGGAAGGACCATGTCATAATAGCGCTCCAGTGATTTTAAAAACAGGTTTGGCAGCAAGTGGTCTAGAAGGTGAGTTCTTAAATTTTTGTTTTAAAATAGATGTTTGGCATTGCGTGTAGGTCCCAACAAAAAATAATCGGCCATCTAAAGTCACCAGTCTAAAAGAAGCATTAGAAAATGTTCATTTGATGTTTCTATTGATTCTTCTCTTCCCAAGGCCAAAACTAGCTCAGCAAGATGTCTTTTACTCTGGTTCTCTGCCTCTCTGGCAAAATGCAAACACAGCTTCATCCTTGGAGAACTGTCTTTCATGCAGGAACCCTTATTTAAATAAACTGCCTTAGGAACATAAAAGCAAAGGAGAAGTGTAGTATATGAATTTACCCATGTGCCTCCCTGCCCAGCAAACACGAGCTCTTTAGCCATGCAGAGAAGATGTTGCTGGGGGGACAGTCCCTCATTCTTCAGCATTCCTCCCTGACCTTCCAGCAAAGATACAGCCGCTAACAGACTCAGAGCCGGTCCTGGATGGGAGACTGTCGCCTGAGGGGAAGGAGACCAAGCACTCACTGGGGACATAATGGCTTTGGAGTGATGGTCGCTAAGAGTGCCAGGATGGGAGCAGAGGGAGGGGCAGTTGGCTAAAGAGTGAGAGGGATGGTCATGCCTTACCTCTAAGGACCAGTTCACAGCAAAAACAAGGGACCCTCCGACCCATGTATAATGTCAGCCCTCCTGAAAACTTATAGTCACTGGGCAGGGCAGTGTGTATGTGTGTGCGTTTATGTGTGTGTGTGTGTATGTGTGTGTGTGTGTGTGTGTGTGTGTGTGTGTGTTGCTGAGCAGCTCTGGGGGCACACAGCAAGCCCCAACCCTCCTGCAATTTCAGCCTCTCCGGCCCATCTACATGTTTTCCCTCAGAGGGGCCAGCCAGAGCATGGGGCAGGCTGGGCAGGGGCTCAGGGCTGTGGCATAGCCCGGGGGAGCAGGTGTGATGCACCTTTTCCTCACGGAGCAACTGACTGCCTGGCCAAGGACAGAGTGCATTCTCAAAAAAGATTGATCAAGGCTGGAAAATAAAATGTAGCTTGAGGACACATTTACAGGCTGATAAATGAAGGCACAATTATGAGGGAGCCTTTGAAACCAGGAAGGGAATTGCCTGCTCGTCAGATATTTCTCCCTTCCAGGCCAGCCCCTTCCACAGACTAGCAGGGAATCTCTGGAAAAAAATGACTTAATTGTGCGACTGATATGGGGGGACTCAGGGGAGCAGTGGGGGTGGGGTCAGAGTCCCAGGACCAGCCTTCCTCTCAGGACCTGAGTCCAGATGAATTAATCTTTATTAAATGTGCTCAATTTTGTCTTCCACGGGGGTCTGGAAATCTTTCAGAGTTGGTTCTACTCTAACCATTTGTTTCCAGATGTGGATCCACTGCAGCCTTGGAAAACCCTCCACTGAGGAGGAGCCACTGACCCAGTCTCTTCCAGTAAGCACCCTCCCTAGCCTCAGAACGTGTCTCTTAGCCAGCTAGCCTCTCTTCCTATCCTACGACCCTGTCTCAACCCTCACGTGCATCCCAGCCCCTAAGGTCAAAGAAGACATAACGCCCACCACAAACCATTATTCCAGAGGACTGTTTATATTGCAGCTGTTTCATCTACTCCCTCACTCCAGTGCCCCTGACCTTCATCCTGCCTATCGAGGGCATCGGTCCACTGTGGGCTTTGGTGTCCTCAGAGGAAGAAATCCTTTAATGTCTGAGGAACCTAGGGAGGAGGCAGGTGGGAGGTGCACAGACATTGGTCTGTCACTTTCATTCTTCAGTTCTTCTAAGCAGTGACATTCTCCTGAGGCCCTGGGTACCCAGACCCACTGGGATGGACACGGAATGCGGGGGGCATGAAGGCCATGCTGTCAAGTAGCACAGCCTGCTCAGGGAGGAAGGAGCTACATGTGCAAACAGAAAGAAGACCATGAGGAGCAACATGCGTGGGTTGGTGGTAGAGAACGCGGCACAGTCTGTGTCTCTGAAGTTGAATGTGCCTGCCATGGGCTATGTTTGGGAGATCAGGGTAGGCTCCTTGAAGGAGGAGGAGGAGGAGGAGGAGGAGGAGGAGGAG